TCATTCCACCGGTTTTCACTGAGTAGCACCTCAGAGTCCTGTGCCAAAACCCCTCTGAGCCTGAGGCCCCTCATCTGCAAGATGAGAATGTTGTCCCGAGCTGAGAGGTCGACGTTGAAGAAAGTGGGCCACATAGGTACTTTCAAATCTCCTAGTAGTCATACTTGAAGGAATAAAAAGTAACAGGTGAACTTAACTTTAAAAACATACCTTGTTAAAAAATAATAATAAAAGAACTAAAAAGGGATGCCTGAGTGGCTCAGTTAGTTAAGCGTCTGACTCTTGATCGCAGCTCAAGTCTCGATCTCAAGGTCGTGAGTTCAAGCCCCGCACTGGGTTCCGTGCTGGGTGTGGAGCCTACTTAAAAAAAAAAAAAAAGAACTAAAAACATACCTTGTGAACCCAATCCTCCAAAATATTATCATTTCAGCACGGAGCCAATGCAAAATTGATAAATGAGACACTTTATACACTTTTGCTCATATGGGGTCCAAGGTGTGTATTTTACCCTTCCCAGACATCTCCTTCCGGACTGGCCACATGATCTGGTGCTCCGTAGCCACATGGGGCCGTCATGCTGGACCACATGGCTCTCAATGGAAAGGTTCCAGAGAGATCAGATGGCGAAGGGTGTGCGAGCCGCCAGCTCCCAGCGAGGCCCACGGTGGGGACAAGTATTAGTGCGAGGCCCCCAACCCCCTTCCTCCCCCAGCTCAGCAAAGAGGCCCCTTTCCTCCCGCGTGGCCACGAGTCGGGGCCCCTGTGGGGTGCCCCTGGGACTGAGGCGCTGCTGGCTTTCCAGGAAGGAGCAGGAGGGAGGGAGAGCACGGGCTGGGGCCTCGAGGAGGGAGCTGCTGCTGCCTGGCACAGGGACAGAGTTTGTTTGCACCTCTTTGAAGCCAGAGATGAAAGTGGGGCCCACATGGCTGCCTTTGATTCCCTCCTCCCTGGGCCCCGCGCAGCTGCAGCCGGGCCTGGCCCACTTCTGCGCTGCCCCAGGGGGAGCAGAAGAGGCCCCAGGCCAAGGGCCTTTCTCCCCTGGGTGGCTTGGGGGAGAAGCGGAGGGAACACCCTCCATCCTGAGGGATCTGTCCTGCCGCAGCCTCCCTGGAGAAGAGGAACCAGGTGTGATGTGCAGAACTTGGGGGCACCTGCCACCCCAAATCTCTCTTCTGCCAGGGCCCGAGTGTCCACCATGAGCGGTCAGTTCTTATGAATCAACACAGGAAAAGAGAGTTGAGTGAACCGCTTGACCTTGTAAGCCTCCTTAATTCAACAACTATTTACTGACGGCCTACTGTGGCTAGGCACTGTTCTAGATGCCCGGCTGGCACGTACCATAGAGCAGATGGAATGAAATGGCGCGTGCAAAGTGCTTAGCATGGTGTCTGGCTCACAGAAATCGCTGAGTACATGTCACCCTGCATCATCATCATCAACATCATCATCATCATCATCATCATCATCATCATCATCACCTCCAAGTTCTGCAGGGTCTCTTAACCATTCCCAGGCACCGAGGGAAGAGAACCAGCTGCTAGAACAGTGCCCACCCCAGGGCTAATCCCTCAAGCTCTGGCCTGAGCTCTGCTTCCTCCTCTCTCCTAGGTCCCCTGGGGGCAGCCCCTGGCCTGGGGGGAGGCAGGACCACTGACCTTCACCAGTGACGCCTGTGGCCCCCAAATGGCGGCTCAGACCAGAGATATGCTCAGAGGACCTCCCGGCCACCACGGAGGCAAAGCCACACATGGGACGCGGCAGGCCCCTCCCCTGTCCCAGGCCGGCAGAGCCTCCAGAACCCTCCTAAAGCAATAGGGCAGCAACAAAGCTGCCATTAGGGGTTGGGGCGTCTGCTGTACCAGGGGTGTGGCTTCTGCAATCCCAGACCCCGTATGGTCCCAGGCAGCATCGTCCAGGTGTCCTGGGTCCTGACCCCTGTCCAAACAGCCTCTGGCGTCTCCCAGCCAGCCCACCTCTGAGGAAGAACCACCTTTGTCCTCCTGCTCCTGGCAGAGGGCGCGGGGGGCACCACCGCTGACCCAGCATCCTCGCACACACATCAGTGACCCCTCCAGGGCAGGCCCCTCTCTCCTGATCCTCTCTCTTGACATCTTGCTGCTTCTCATGAGTCAGGGAGGAGAGGCAGTAGAGCCAGGGCTGGAGAAAGGAGCAAAGTGGGGAAGAACCGGGTCCAGAGTGCCCATGATGACCAGTAGGTTTGCGGGGGGTCGGGGGGGGCTGAGGCAGACCCTTTCCAGACGTGTCTCGGACCCTCGCATTACTGTTTCCAGGCAGGATATAGTTGTCCCCATTTTACAGATGGGGAAATGGAGGCTGGCAGCCGTGGAGACAGTCACCCACAGCCACACACTTGGGAGGAGGGAAGGCAGCCGGGAGTCGGACCCACATCTGACTGATTTCAAAGTCTGTGTTCGTTCCATTCAGCCACCCTGCCAGGGAACTCAGCCCTCTTCATGGGGAGCTCAGGGTGGCCCCAGGCAGCTTCTCCAAAGCCTGAAACTCTGAAGACAAGAAGCCTGCCCTAAGGACAGATGCGATGGAGCAGGAAGGAGTCTGGCCTTGGAGACACCAAACTCTGGGACCCGGGGCGGGGCGCCTCACCTCCAGACCTTCCTCTTCTCTCCCAGGATAAGGGCTCAGAGAACATGGGACTTCTGGAAGCATGCACAACGGGCAGGATGACTTTAGGGGGCTCATCGCCCCCTCTTTATTTCAGTGGGGGTAGATATGTTGATTGTGTGTTGGACCAGACAGATAAACCAGCACATGGAAGTCACAATTTCACGGATACTTTTGCTTAGGCAGTGTGTGTGTGTGTGTGTGTGTGTGTGTGTGTGTGTGTGATAAAGAGAGCGCTGACTTAAGGGACAGTACTAAGTGAAAACACGGGGGGGGGCACGGCATATGGGCATGCCCACTTCTGGGAGGCCTGAGCGGCTGTGATGACCAGTGTGGACCGGAGGGGACCCCAGGTGGTTAGGAGGCTGGAAGCGGGCTGTGGGGAACCCCATGAAGGCCTGGGTGTGAGAGGGAGAGGGAAGGGGGCAGGGAGGAGGGGCAGAGGGGCAGAGGTGAGCCGGGCTCAAGGGCTGGCCCCAGCAGCCAGCCGTCTGCACCCTCTGGGTGCCGCCGAGCCTGGAGGCCACATTGCTGCCTCCCCTCCCCGGGCCGTGCGGTCCGCAGCTGGCTGATGTAAAACACACATGTTTTGACTGAAGCTGCTCTCCCCCCACCTCCTGAAAAACGCCAACATTAAAGGGAACGTAGCTTTGTAAAACTGAAACTGTAAAACCCTTCTGAAACCCAGCCCGGGGGATTAAAGAAACCACATGAAAAGGGACTCGGGACGACCTGGATGCTGACTTCCTGTTCAGAAGTTCGCTCAACATGTGCCTCCCACCCGGCCAGGGGCGTGTAGAAAGGAGGAGGAAGGGAAAGGCCCGGGCCAGTGGGGTCTTGGGAGGCCTCCAGAAGTCCAGCGCTCACAAGGTCCAAGGCCTGACAACCTCACAGTGCCCTCCCCAGACTTCTGACCCCCCCGGAGAGCTCTGAGAAGAAGGTGCCCTGTTGCCCTTGGCCCTGGGACCCCACCCTACGGTTACAGAGGGGTCGGGAGTCAAACAGACCACAGTCACCTACCATCCTACTTGCCTGCTTCTGCCAGGCCCCCTGCTGCTCCCAACACCGTGTCCCTGGCCCTGGATCCTTGGACCCCCCCCCACCCCCCCGCCCCGGCTCAGACCCCCGGCTCCCGGTCAGTCCTGGTTAAGAGCCTCCCCCAGGCCTGGGGCTGCAACTGCAAGTTCAAGTCTCAGCTCTGCCCGTATTCTCCAGGGGACACCCAAGGAGCTACCCTTGGGAACTCTGCACCTTTTCCCTCCCCACGTCACCAAGCAGGGGGAAAGTAGAACAAGCAATGTGTGTGCAAGCCTGCCGTGATCAGGACGGCACAAGGTGGTTCTCACTCTGCTCGCACAAGCCTGAGGCTGGAGTCCCCCCCCCTCATTGGTCTCCCTCTTGCTACATGGCCTTGGCCAAGTCCCAACTCCTGTCTGGGCTCAGGACCCTCATCCTGGGAAAAAGAAGGTAGGGTGGGCTGGGTCAGAGGGAAAGCCCAGGCTCCGGCCACACACACTCACACCCCCATCATATACACTCCCTTATGGACAAACACTCACCCCCTCTCTCACACACACACACACACACACACACACACACCACAGGCCACTTGGTGGCCACCACTACCCCCATCTTCATTACCACCCTCCTCCATTATATAAACTCCCTGTGCCCTCCAGTGTCCCCCGCAATCACTTACCTAATATTAGGATATTAAAAAATATGGCAAGATTTTAAGAGACTTATTAAAATGCAATTAGCGGCGTGTACGACTTAAGCAGGAAGATTATTTTTAAAAATGACTTGATTGTGCAGAATACCACGCACCTTCCCGAGGCCGTAAACCTGCCAATCACACACATGCTCAAAGGAAGAGGTTTCCTCATTTTCTCTTTGTCCTTCAGGGTTTTCTCCTGCCCCCGGTGACCATGAAGGCTGTGGTCCCCCACCCACCAGACACACACTCTCTCACACACACACACACACACACACACACACACGCTTGCATTCTGAGCCCCCTCAAGAGACCCCTCAGAAGGAAGCTAAAGGGTTAATCGGGTCCAAAGTCAAGCCCGGAGAAGTTTGGAGAAACTGGCCAGAGGGTAGGCAAGGGGATGGAGAAGACCCCACGCCATGACCGCTACCCCATGATGATTTGGATTAGCAGAGGCTGCAGCGAGAATAAGGACGACGAACAGTCCTGGCTGCGAAGGGTTTGGGGGTGGGAAGGGCTGAAGGGAGGAGGGAGAAGTCCCAGGTTGTGGGTTACAGCTGACCCCCTCTGTGCCTCGGAGACCCCCCCCCGCCCGCTGCGCCCGCGGCGCCCCCCGCCCGGCCCCCGCCCTAGCTGGAACGGTGGGTTATGCTGCCCCCTGCCGCCCGCTCTCCACATTGCAGCCCCCGCTCTCAGGACCCGGCTGCTGAGCGAAGGAACTCGCGAGGTCCAGGGCCGACCCTTCTCCAGCCGCGGGGTCCAGGAGAAGGACCCCGGATCTTCCCGGCTCTAGCCTGAAGCGAACCACGGATTTGGAAACGAAACGTGGAGAACGTTCTCCAGCCGCCCCCTCCCCGGCTGCTCCACCCCTGGCTGAAGGAGTTTATCAAACGTGCCTGCTACTTCCTGGCATTGGGCTCCCGCTGGTACTTTTATTCCAACCATAAAAAGGCTATTTCATTGAGAAATAAAGTCCCATCCCCCTGACGTGTGACTCCTTTCAGAGCTCTCAGCCGCCAGGCAAAATTTATGTTTCCCGGATGCTCTCTCCTGGGATTGCAACTGGAAATTGGGGAGAGGGGGCTGGAAGGGGGAATTTCCTCTCTAGCTGATGGACTTGTGCTTATTCCTTTGGTCTGAGGATCCCTGGAAACCCAAGGTGTCCAGCAGAGAGCCCTTGCCTTGGAGTGAGGAGGCGGGTGTTTGAGCCCCGGTTCTTCCACCTATTAGCCGTGTGAGCTTGGGTAAAGTCCTGAGCCTCAGTTTCGTCGTCCATAAAATAGGAAGAACAATTCTTCTCTTCCTCAGAGAGATGGAGCTAGATGCACTGAGCACTTAGAAGCTGTAGAAATGTCAAGTACTGCTATTATTATGGAGGCAGAGGAATTCTCTGACTTGGGGTGGGGGCAGGGAGAGCTGACACAGATTTTCCCAAGCAGTGAGCGGTCCTCAGCTTCTGTGTGCATCAGATTCACCTGGAGGGCTTGTTATAACACAGATTACCGGTCTCCAGCTTCTGTGCTTTGGGATCTGTAGGTCTGGGATGGAGACCAAGAATTCGCTTTTTTTTTTTTTTAACCGATTTCTTAGGTGATGCTGATGCTGCTGGTCTGGAGACCCCACTTGGAGAACCATTGTTTTGAGGGCTTTGAGATCTGGGATGTGGGGCACCTCAGCCTGAGCCTTGGGAGAGGACCGAGGAGCCGGTGGGAGTCACCTTTGGGGCAAGATAAGGGTGAACTCTGGCCAGCTGCAGGGGAGTGACAATCTGTCCATATCGTCCCATCTTGTCCCCCCAGTGGCTGGGCCTGTGTCTCTGGCGGCCCCCACTGCCAGAGAGACAAGACCTATGAGCAGCAGAGAGGTCAGGCAGTGGCCCGGGGCTAGGCTGAGCTGGACTCTCTGAAGATGGACTCTCAGGGGTGCGGGGTGCCTGCAGACCTACAACGGGATACTCTTGACTTGTCTCCCCATGAGTGGAAGTTGCCTGACCATCCACTCCTGCTCCCTGTTTCAGCCTATTCCTGAAACAGAAGCACAGAAAGATTGAACTGACTTGCTCAAGGTCACACGGCTTGGACAGGACACCCAGAAAAAGCCCTTACTGGCTATGCAGTAATTTGGAGGATTATGAGGTTGATGACTCCAATTCCAGTTTAAGTAATATTCAAATACCCAGCAGAGACTTGCCGCTAAAGCTGGAAGAGCACGTTGTCATACAAGTCTGCCGTGGGAGCGTCTAAAATCTGGGTATTCAAGACCTTCGATGAGGGAACAACCATGAGCCTGGATGTCGCAAGGCATGAAAATTGGCTTTTTTGGTCAGGGAGGAAAACCCAAAAGGGAAACTGGCCCATGGCTGCTCCGTGTAACAGAACAGAAGGACAGTAAATGCATCACAGACCCTGATGGGGTGAAAAAGATGGGGATCCAAGCTACTGGGGGGGGAGGGAGTCACGCAATGTCTAACCACCCCAAATCCCAGATTGTCTGAGATCCTGCCCCACAGGATGCTGACCTGGAGGGGAAGAGCCACTGCTTGCCAGGGTCTCACTGATCACAGACACAGCAGTCGCAAAGAAATGATTGCCAGACCTGGAAGGTCTCAACAGGACGAGTGGAGGCCCCCCAAGCAGGGAGAACACTTGTGCCCGTGCCCACGCCACCCCGGGATTGGGCACAGGAGCGACCCAGGCCCTGGGAGACCCAGAGCCCTGGTCACTCATGGATCTGGGGACATTGAGGGAAAACAAGAGACTCCCCAGAAGCCTGAGCACTTTCTCATGAAACGCAGCTTGTCCCGGGTTTGAGTCAGCGTGGAGTGGAGCAAGGGGAGAGGCGTAAAGTGGTTGCTTGCAGCTGCGCCGTCCGCTGAGCTGGGCCACGTGCCCAGATCCGCGTAGCCTTGCCGCTCGCTGCCTGCTGCGGGGAGAGCCATTTATGCCAGGTAGAGGCTGGAGATTTCATTAACTCCCTTCCCTTTGTCTCGTCTCCAAGGGCACAGGGTGGTTAAACATGCGGAGGACTTGGTAAAGGGTCAGCCCTGCTTTATAGGACTCTCTTGGCTGCATGGGGGGGGCAGGTGGGGGGGGCCCGGCCCTCGAGGTCCCAAAGCGGGGTGGTTCGGCAAAGATGGAGAAGGGGAGGAGGGAGATGGGGGCGGGACGGGGAGCAGAGAGACAGAGACTACAGGCCAGCGTGGTGACATGTCTCACACATCACCTGCAGCCACCTTCACTGAGTCATCTGGACACAGGATGGGAGTGGCACCTTGGAGAGGAGCCCTTTAAGTCATCTTCCTGGGGGGTGGGTTGGCCTCTCTCAGCCAGAGCCTCCCGCCCCCATCCCCTTTCAGCTGTTCCTGCCCTCTGATGTCCACTTTCCAGCAAGCGTTTTAGAGCCAGAATAAAATCTGGGGGCTCCCACGTGCCCGCTCTCTCCTGTTCACTCCACCAGCTTCCATTGCCTTCTTTCTGTCCCTCCAAACCTCCTTAGATCCCTTGCACTTGCTGTCCCTCTGTCTGGATGCCCCTCTCCACCACCACCCCACCCCACCCCCCACTCTTTCCGGGTTTCCCCTTCAGAGGGGTTGCCGTGACCATCCCGCCCCAACCTACGCCCCATGCAGGTTGCGTGTTTGGGTCTCTTCAGAGCACTTTGGTGTCATCTGAAGTTGTCCACGTGTGGCTTTATTGTCCATCCCCAACCCCCCGTCACACACACACACACACACACACACACACACACACACACGTGCCCACTAGAACTTTCGCTCCCACATGAGGGACTTTCTCTGTCCAATTTACGGTTCCCTTCCCAGAGCTGCAATAGTGTCTGGCCCAGAGAACGCACTCCATAAACATTTGTCAAGTGACAGGGGCCGTGATATGCACTCTGAGAAGGCAACTGGGGGTCTGGAGAACCAGGCAGCAGTGAGCCCACAACATCAGCCCTGGGCTCTAACCCCCTTCCCCACCGTCCTATGAACGTGATCTTCTAGCCCGAAAACCATGGGCTCCTGTGAGGTGATCCCAGCCTAGGGGAGGTCAGTCCTTCTTTCTTCCCCCAGGCTGGGCCACCCAGCCAGGTGCCCTGGGCAGCCGCCACGGCCTCTGGCCGCCTCCTGCTGGCTTCCCCTGTAGGTGTCAGGCTTGCCTTGGCATGGGGGCCGCCGTCCCTGGGCAGCGGTTGCCTGCAGGGGAACCGCCTGGCAGGGCGGGCGGGGGGGGGGGGGGGGGCGGGGGGGGTTGGCCTTGGAGTCACGGCTCCGATTCAAGAAGGGAAATCATCCGAGCTTTTAAAAAATTAAATGGAGTCAGTAATTTGATTTCAGAGAGAAGCTGAAAACCTCGTAATGGCAGGAGCTGCTCAATTCCGTGGTGAAAAGGAAAAGCCTTAAATGGGGCTATTAAGCTTTTGCCTGGGATGGATCAGCCCGGAGAAGGAGGAAGGAGGGGGGGCAGGCAGCGGGGAGAAGTCGTCCTAGAGGTAGAGACCGTTTATCAGCCAAGACAACCCTGATTATTTATTTATTTATTTGTTTCGCGTTCCGGGCGTTGCCCACGGCCTCCTCTCCTTGGCTGCGATTCAAATCCCACTTCCAGCGATGGGCCGGCCCGGAGCGGGTGGGGGTGCCCTCCTTCCAGGGAAGCACCCAGTGCTGCTCCCATTCAGGCCACGGCTGGGCTTCTGGGAGCACTGGTGTCCCCGGAGGTCAACAGGGGTCACCGGAGCTGCCCAGGCCAGCGGGGTACCAGCTGCTGCCGTGGGAACCGGAGGCAGAGAGTAGTGAGTCATGAAAACAAAGCAGCAACACTCCCCATTCTCCTCTCATGGGGTCCTTGAGAGACCTAGGGTCGTGGCCCCGGAGGCCCAGGGGAGGGCATCTCGCACTGCAGGATCTTGTCATCGCCCAGCGCCCCCAGAGATGTCTGAGCTGTGGCTGAAGGCGTTCTGTGCTCTCCCGGAACGAGCACGCATCCCCTCTGCCTGGGCCTGGGAGCCCCGCAGTTTGGCTGTTCTGATTTGCCTGAATAGCTGCCAGGGTAACCACGAGAATGACTTACACGTCCTGAGCACACGCTGTGTGCAGGGCCCTGCGCTGAAGGCTTTACGTTTCCTCGCTTCCCCCTCAACGGCCCCAGCTATTCTCACCCCCATTTGCCTGATCAGGAAACGGAGGCACAGAGAGATTAGCGCCTTGCCCAAAGGCACACAGCCGAAGAGCAGAGAGACCGCAGCAGCCTGGCTACAGAGCGTGCACGCTTTCCCCCTCTCCGCCCCCGATGCCTCACCGCATCACAGGGAGTGGGCAAGCACGCAAACGCTGGCGGTCCCAGCAAGCCGGAGGCACGCCCGAATACTGTCCTCCCCACTCCTTTGTGCTTGGCATCCCCTGGGGTGCTCCCAGGACTCACCCCAGCAAGGGGGCCTCTCAGAAGCCCCTCCACGTGGTTCTGAAGCTCAGGAGACCTATAACTTTCAGGTTATAGGTTGCCACTGCAGGCTGTGTCGGCTCCTGCCAGGGTGTCCCCTGCTGAGCAGAAAGGCTCTCCGGGTTTGGCCAGGCTGGACCAGGAAACGTCTGCGGGAGCCCACAGGCTCTGAATTTGCTGGACATGTTCGCGGCCCCCCACTCAGCCTGCTCCACTGGCCAGGGGCTGACTCGAGGCCTCAGGCTCTCTCTTACCCGCCCTCCGATGAAGCCGCGGGCTCCTTAGAGGTGCAGGCCAGTGAACTCTCCAGAAGAGCCGTCAGGGGCTGCCTGCGACTGGCAGTTGCTGGGCCTACCCTGTGCCTCCCCGAGGGCTCAGGCGGGTGCTGGGCCTAGCTGCTGCCACCACACCTTAGAAGGGCTGACGGCAGGGCAGTGACTGCGGCATATCCATTCCCAGCAGGAGGATGAGTCCCGGCCCCGCCGTGTCCTGACTTGGTCCTGGGATGGCAGGTCTAGGTGCCCCTTACCCTCCTCCCTGATGGTCCTGAGGCCTCCATTATGGAGGATGTTTCCTGGGGCTATCTGGGGGTCGGGGTGGGGGGAACATCAGGAAGCCAGTGCCTCTTCATCCACGCTGGTCATCGAGAGCCTCGTCAAAGGCCAGACCTCCTGGCCAGCGCGGCCAGGTCCTTCTCGCCTGGGCTAGTTGGCAGCCACGTCCCCCCTGACAACATTCCCAGCGGGAGGAGCCCTCCGGGTGGCTGGGCAGGGCCCTGCTCAGGCCTTAGAGCTCCCAGACTGTCAGGGTGACAGATGGCCTTGAGACCAGGAACACTTCGGACTGTTCGGACGCCCAGAGAGGCAGCCGAGGAGAGGAGACATCTGAGAACAAATGAATGGTCAGGCCGTGGGGGCTGGGGAGACCGGACAAGGGGGCCGGGGCTGGCCTGGACGGCTCCCATGGACTCTGAGGACAGTGCAGCTGAGGACAAGGCGGGCCCGGGTAACTCCACGTTCCCTGGGGGAGCCCAGGGGCCATGTTTCTTCTACAGGTTTGGCTATTTGCAGGAATGGTCCAAGCCCCTTCTTCAGTGGGAGAGCAGTGGAGAGAAAAAGCATCAGAACTCGGAGGATGTGAGCTTAGGCCATGCCGAGGATGGCAACCCAGAGATGGCCCTCGGGAGCTCTGCCCTCAAGCTGGAGCCCCAGGCCTGCTCCCAGGCTCCGGCCACAAGGCTTTTGAGGCACGCCTTGGTTTTCCTTTCTCCACGTGCACAGCCACTGACCTTACCCGCCACCTCCTTTTGCCGGCTCTGAAGGCCCCGGGGGCCGTGAACAAGACAGGAGAGCTCGAAGGGAGCCGCCCTCAGATGGGAACTCTTGGGGGCCCCCCGCTTTCTCTGGGGAATGTTCTGAATTTGAGGAGGAAACTTGGTGGGAGGTCAAAGTGGGGCTCCCTTGGGAATAATGGTGGTGAAGGAGAAGGGTCTCATGCCTGGCTGGGTCCACCAACGCCTCGTGGGGCTGGGGCCCCTCCGAGGAAACTGCGGTGGGGAGGCCAGGTGATGGACTGGGCTTCGGAAGGCTCGAGAGCGAAGCTCTGACAAAGCCCTTCCCAGAGGCCATCCGCGGCAGCTGATCCTGCAGTTTGGAACTGGGGAGAGACAGCAGATGGAATTCCTGCAGGAAGGGTCTCCTCTCCTGGGAACGGTGGAGACGGAGCAGTCCTCAGCACGGCAGTTCAAGCAGACAGCTCCCTTCCAGAATTTTCCAGAAAGGAAGCAGGGGTCAGTTCTCCTCCCAAAGAGACACGATCCTCCCCGCACCCTGGTGAAAGGGCCACTCATGTCCCCCTTCTACAGATGGAAAAATAGAGGCTTTGGGAGCTCAAATTCAAGCACTGGGTTAACAACCTCCCTTCATTGGCGGAATTTCACAGACCCTGGACCTGGAGTCCTTGTTGAGAATACGTGAGTGTCAAAATCTATTTTTGAAATCGAATCACAGGATTGTACATTTTCTGTAAGGACCTACTGGCCCCAACTCCTACCCCTGCTTGATGCCACCAGCTGATTTCATCTTTAAGCCATTCCCTACTTTGAGGCCACGTACATCAGCCCAGTCCCAAGAATCACACAGAACCAGACTCTGCTGGGACACTACGGACCTGCTGGGCCAGATCGTTCTTTGCTGTGGGCTCCTGTGCACCATGGGATGTCTAGCAGCACCCGTAGCCTTGACCCACCAGATGCTGGTGGCCTCAAGAATGTCTCCAGATGTTGCTAAATGTCCCGTGGGAGGCAAAAACATACCCCTGTTGAGAACTGCCGAGTTAGAGCTTGCCAATTCTGGTTCATAGGTCAAGTACAGCCTCAGACATGTTTGGTTTGGCCTGCAGCGGGTCTATTTTATTTTATTTTATTTTATTTTATTTTATTTTATTTTATTTTATTTTATATTTATTTGAGAGAGCATGAGCAGGGGTAGCGGGAGAAGGAGAAGCAGACTCCGCACGGAGGAGGGGCTCAATCCTAGGACCCCGAGATCATGACCTGAGCTGAAGGCAGACGCTTAACCGCCAGAGCCTCCCGGGCACCCCGACCTGCGGCGGGTCTTAAATATATTTTAGATTAACTGATGAAATTCTGTAACCAGCTTCTCCTGGAAAATCAGAAGATTTGGCGGGGTCTGGGGGCCACCACCCACTGGCATCTCCACTACGCCCTGTCCTCTCCGTGGCCTTCAGCACCCTCCCTTGGGCCACCGGTTCACTCCCCCTCACTCATTTACACTCCCTGCCTGACCCATAGAGGCATTTTTGTCAGAACCTCTGCTTTAAAATGTGAAACAGAGCTGGCTGGTTAGCTCAGTTGGTTAGAGCATGGTGCTGATAAAATGTGAAACAACTACAGTTTAACCATCCTGCTGGTTTTTCTTCTCCAAGCTGGACAGCCCCTTGCTTCCACTATCCGTGACATCTATGAGCTTAAATAATTAGGATTTCTCCTATAGGTTCTAACCACTTTGCGGGGGGTGGGGGGAGGGATGGAAAAGACTGTAACCACAGAGTGCTTAGGCAATCCCGGCGCATTAAATATTCCAGCGCATTAGTCATATATTTACACAGAGAAATGTTCTTTGTCTAAAACGTTTTTTTTTTTTTTAAATTCCTGGTGAAAATGTAGTCTGACAAGCATCTATTAAGTGCTTACCAAGGGAAGGCAGTATGATAAGTCCTAGGAAGAATAAAATGCTGAACAAGACACAGCCCTTGACCTCAAAGCATTCCCATACAAGAGGGAGAGACAGGAGGGTGAGCCAATAACCATAACAAGAATAGAAAGACCTGGAAGCAACAATACAGAGATTAGCAAGGCCCCTGAGCAAGGATGACACACAAATTCGTGAAGCATTCCATATTTTAAAAGAAAGAAGGAAAGAAAACAAAGAAAGAAGGAAAGGAAGGAAGGAAGGGGGAGGGAGGAAGGAAGAGAAAGAAAGAAAGAAAGGAAGGAAGGAAGGAAGGAAGGAAGGAAGGAAGGAAGGAAGGAAAGGAAGGAAGGAAGAAAAAGAAAGAAAGAGAGACAGGGGAGGTGCAGGGAAGGTGTGCTGGGAGCCAGGGAGAGGAGAGATTCATTCTGGCTGCTGCTATTAAATTAATAAAACGAGGAAGAGAACATTCTTTCCCCATGTAAATCTTTCCAGAGAGGCCAAAAAGTCTTCCTAAATTGTTCTTATTACTGTTGCTGAGCTATTTTTGTATTTTATTTACTATGTCCCTATAGAGAACCCACCCTCGCTTCAAAGCCTGGGACAAAGATCATCTGCCCCTTGACATCTCCCCCCAAGCCCGCCTGCCCTCCTTTATAACTTTATAACTCTCCGGACATTTCTTTCCTCCCCTTCGAGACTGGAGGCCACTTGAGAGCAAGGGCTGAAGCTGGAGGCCTCTGTTCCCTCCCCTGCCTCATAAGGGCCCTCCCTCAGGCAAGTGCTTAGTGGATATTTGTCGGATAAAGATCTAGCCCTCCCTTTCCAAAATCAATGTCAATGCTGCAGGAAACTGTTAAAATAAAAACAGCCAAAATGTGTAAAAACTTTCAAGAAACATTTCCATTCTCAGCAGACTGTTAGAACTCATCCCCCACCCCGCTTTTTCCCTTTGTTTCTAATTCTGAATTTGGGGCTAGATGTGGTAGGCAGTCCCCCTTTTAATCTTTAAATATAGTTCTGAATATAATTACATTTTTATGCAGCACCGAAACATCATATCCTGGTAACGGGGCATTCTTGCACTATTAACATCTGCGTTAAATCTCCTTCGCGTCTGTCTTCTATTGAGGACAGTTGTGAAGTCTAAGATGAAAGTGATCGACATCATTTGTGAATTATGTGTATTTCCTTACGCTGTATATCAATGGGTTTTGCTCCTGGTGGTTTTGCGAATACCAGGTTGTCTGGTAGCCGGGCTTTCGCCGAAAACCTCTTTCAAGACATGGATCCCGGCATCCTGGCACAGAGGACACACACCGTGTTTAGAAAAGCATTCGTCCTGGATTAAGAAATAAGTTGCATCACGCAGCGCTCTTTGCCAAAGAGCCTGATCCATCTCGTAAGCGACCTGAGGAACTGGAGCCCACACAGACAGCTGGGCGGATCAAAATGGAAATGGCTCATCTTGTGCTAGGAACTCTGCTAAGCTCCTCCCCCTGTCATCTACGGTCTTCCCTACAGGTACCCGTATTCCCATTTTGCAGATGAAAAACACTGAGGCTCAACAAGGTTAAGTGACTCGCAGAGGTCCTGCAGCCAGCTAGGCATTGCTGTGGGGCCACGAAGAGTTAGTTGCACGTGGCAGGGTGCATCCTGTCCCCCAGGGTCATCCTCCCAGGGGGCCACCCTGGCAAGAGTGCCAGGCCCCAGGGGTATCAGCAGCAAGGATCCATCTTCAGCTGGCCCCACAGTTCTGCCTTCCACGTCTCTGATTCCACTCGGTGTCAGTGGCTCGAAGGGACCTCCACGAGGGTTAGGACAGCTGCTGCCACCACCAGGACACTGAGCTGGACCCGGAGCACCCTGGCCACCAAGTGGCTGATCACCACAAGGTCCCTGTTTCGGGTCCCTGTGCAGGTGCGGGTGGGAGCCTTTTTTTGACCAGACCCAGTCTCTGCTTTGGGATGTGAAGCAAGACCTCCGACTCTGGCTGGGATGACCCTGGAATGGGGAAGGATATGTGACACAGAAATATGCACACTTTGGTTCGCCTGGGTGGCCCAGCCGGTTGAGTGTCTGACTCGATCTCGGCTCAGGTCTTGAACTCAGGGTGGTGAGGTCAAGCCCCGCGTTGGGCTCCGCGTGGGGCATGGAGCCTACTTGGAAAAAAAGAAAGAAAAAGAAAGAAAAGAAAGAAAGAAAAAGAAAGAGAGAAAGAAAGAAAG